AGACTAATAATTGTGTGTGTGTGTGTGTGTGTGTGTGTGTGTGTGTATGTGTATTTAGTACAGGATCTCACTACACACATTGGACTCGTAGTGAGCCTCCTGTTTTCAGCATCCCAAGTGCTGGGATTACAGGCGCACACCACCACGCCTAGTCTCATTTGCTGTTTTTTAGAGTGCCCGGGGGCGGGGCCGGCACAGCACACGGAATCGAACCCTGGCAGCTTCGCTCTGCCTAAGCAGGCACTTTAGTCCACTGAGCTATCTGGCTGGCCCAGAAAGGCTAAGAATTTTATTTTTTTCTGGAGACATTTCTTCCGCTGCTGCAACAAACCAATTCAATTAATCTGCTCCTGGTAGCAGCTTTCGCTGCTATGCTGGCAGATGAGAAGTTGGAGGTCATTCTGGTTGCAGGGCTATTTTCATATTTTCTGTTTTGTAAAGAAATTTTGCTGTGGTGACACACACCATTGAAAGTGTCCCTTATGATCTTTGTTCTCTTGTGAGTTAAAAATATTTTGGACTGCCGGCCGAGCTGTGGCGGCGGAGGTGCAGGTTGAAGGACGTTAGCTACGGTGTTTCTGGAGAGATTGAAATCATGGCAGGTCCAGAACATGATGCCCAGTTCCAGTTCACTGGCATCGAAAAGTATTTCAACTCTTACACTCTCACAGGTAGAATGAATTGTGTACTGGGCACATACGGAGGCATGGCTATGCTTATCTTGTACTTCAAGTTAAGGTCTAAAAAAATGCCAGCTGTGAAGCAGCGTAAGTGTTTTGGGGATCAGACCCAGGGCATTGTGCATACTAGGATTTTACAGTGTCTGACCTCATCTGTTAAGTCCCATGTCTGGAGGAGCTAATATCAACTCATCATGTAATACTCAATTTGTACAATAAATTATGAACCTGGAAAAAATATTTTGGACTGCTTAATCTGGTAATTACATAATGTATTCTTTTAGCGTTGCTTCAGTGTCATTGCATAATGATAGTGTCTTGGCTCCTTTTTTCTCATTGCTGGGACACAATTAAGGAAGGAAAGGTGTATTTGGCTCACAGGTTGTGGAGGTTTCAGTCCATACTCAGCTGGCTCCAAGGCAGAGTGGCACATGCAAGAGGGCAGCTGTTCACGCTGGAGAAAGCAGCAAGAGCAAAAAGGGAGGACAGTGGCAGCAGAGGCATAGGGCAAGCCTCTCCCTTCCTTACATGGCATTCAGGCTGCCCACCCCCCAGATGGGTGTAGCATTCACACCCATAATCCCAGTAATCCCAGCATTGGATCATGAATTAATCATAAACTCCAGAAGCTTGCCCCAATGACTACCTAAGGCTTTGAGGGGACAACTAGACACAAACCATAAGAGTGTTTTACCTTCTCCTCCTCCTCCTCTTCCTCTTCCTCCTCCTCCTTCTCCTTCTGCTTCTTCTCCTTTCTTCTCCTTATTTCTGTTGTCCTTCTTCCTCTTCTTCTTCTTCTTTCTCTCCTCCTCCTCCTCCTCCTCCTCCTCCTCCTCCTCTTCCTTCTTCTCCTTTGGACTGAACCCAGAGCTTCACACTGATCTACATCCTCAGTCCTTTTCATATTTTTTAATTTTGCCATGGGATCTTGCTAAATTGCTAAGTTGCCTAGCCCAGGCTTAAATTTGTGGTCCTCCTGCCTCAGCCTCCTGGAGTGCTGGGGTTACAAGCATGTGCCACCCACTCCTGGCTTGCCATTGTCTTGAAAGAATAACATTTAGCATCTTCTTTCCTCTTTTCTTCTTATTTTGACATGATATGTATGCACTGCTAATCAACAATAGATTACAGGCAGCAATGTTTACGTATGGAAAACACTGATCATAACTGTGCTATTGTGGTTTCCCCTGAGTAGGAGTGGAAAGTAACGAGCGTGTCACGTATGCTCTCTGTCACAACTATTTAGCTCTGTCATTGTAGTGCAAATGTGGTAATAAAATATAAATAATAAGCATAATAAAACTTCATGGACACAGAAATTTGAATCTAGTGCTATTAGATATGACTATTCTGCATTTTTTAAGCTACTGAATAATGTGAAAATTCTTTGCAGCACAAAACCAGGCAGTGGGCTGGCTTTTGCACCAACTCATGCCCTGAGTTGGTGCTCACTGTAGGGTTGCACTTAGTCCCCAGTGGGTATGTGCTTAGGATCCAATGTGTGGAAATGGTAGCGGAGCTGGTTCCACTCTGTCTTGTTATCCACATGGGCACTTGCACTCTCTGTCTCTGCAAGTCCAGGTTCTGTCTGACTAGAGGGTGTAGATTCTAGGGAGGCAAGGTATATGGCAGTGGTCACAGTAAGAATTCCATTAAATTTAAAGCTATGGCTGTGACCCAGTCCCTTTATATTTTTGATAAGAAATGTGCAAGTAATGAAGAGCCACCATACTGGTGGAATAGTGAACTGTGACAGTTGAGAGAAGGGGAGCTGCTGCTTGAGGGATCTCTGGGGCTTTCCTGGTGTTACACTGCCTGGGGGTAAGGGTAGAACCCACACAGCAATCATTGTAGTTCCTTTTGAAATGGCTCAACAAACACAAGTATTCCAGCTCCTTTTTCTCTCAAAGAATTGGATGGGACAAGCCAAAAACAGTGCCAAGATTTATTCTAAAATGAGGGATGAGGGGATTGGGAAAGAATTGGCTCTTCAGAGTGAACTTGGGCCAAACAGAGGGGAGTAAGTGAAAAAGAGCTGAAAGAAAAGCATACCCTGGATCTGGGAGGGCCACCATGAGGAGTGACCATAGCGAACTCCTGAGGGTGTCTGATCGTCCGTCAACATCTCATGGAGCCCTGAAAATCACCTAGAGCAACCCTGGGGTCTTGTAATTTATGGGCTCTGCCCACTTCTCCAGCAGCTTTGCCACAGCCTACCTCCTAGATCAGAGGGAGGCTAAACTGATGCAGGTCTTCCAGGCTTGGCCAACATTTTCATCTTCAAATGGGTGCTTCCAGTACCTGACCTGTCCCACACAGTGTAGCCTACTATTGCCCCATTTTCCTCCTTCCTCCCAATAACTTCACCCCAACAGCTTCCTCAGCCTCACACCGCCTCTTCCTCTTTCTTGTAATCTCCCTGTGGACCTACACAAGCTTCCATCTTCACCCTCCTGAGTGCACACCTAGTGACCTCTGGGACTGCAGTTCTGAGGGGGTCTGGCCTCACAATATCCAGTTGGGTCTTCAGAGGCTAGGTGCAGGCAGAGCTGGGTCCCTGCTTGGGCAGTGGCCAAGCCTTACTTATCTTAGCCATTAATTGTGGCCTCAAAGCCCTCAGAGGCAGAGAGGTAGATAGAAGCATTAAACCCATTTGAGCCTAAGATGATCCTGGGGGCTTTGTAGGACTTTCTGGCCTGTGTGTGTCCTTAGCTTGCAGACAGGCCAGACATAAGGATTTAGCCACAGTGAGGGAGTTTGTCCTTTCCCCTCAAACTATTCTTATTGGGGATGATCACTTTTTTCCCTCCTCCCCTACTTTTGGGGCAATGCTTTTTATAGCACATGTGCATAAACGTGCCGTTATTGTTGGGTCACTTTATTCTTCATCTTGATTTGTTTTGTACTAGTATTTCATATACCTTTCTATAGTAGTATGCGGAGAACAAGCTCATTCCAATTGTTATTTGATGTACCGTTGTTTGAACTAAAATACATTTAATGAATAGTGACCAGGTAATGAGTATCCTTGTACACCTTTGGGTCAGTGGATCAGGATCCTAGATGATTTTGTAGTCATTGTGGTAGAAAAGTAAGGTCAGATCTTCTGAGTTTTTCTTAGAAGGAACTCAACTAGTGGGTGCCATCCTGGTGCCTGTGTCATAGGTACCCTTGTGACATCATCGTTCTCTTCCCCTTAACTCTTCTTGTTAGAACTGCTGCTGGCAGTGTGCAGACCGGAGGGTGATGGAACCATCTAGCCCCTAACCATGGGTAATTTAATAGATAAAGATCTGCAGGGTCAGGGGTATTCTTGAAAGGGAGATTCACTCAAACATTCTGAAAGGGTAGGGTAAGTTTCCTTTTATTGCACTGGTGGGGACTGTCCATGCCTGGACTCCTGGAAAGGAGCAGAAAGCCAAGTCTGTGGTTATCTTGTCATCTGTAGTAAGGAGAGCACCCTAATCTTCATCCTTCTCAAACCTAATACAGAAGGACCGCAAACCTCCTTAACGATAGCGATGAAATCCCATTGCTAGAACAGAGCTTGAAGGAGCAAAACAGGAAGGAGGAATTTGACTCCCTGTCCTAAACTCCACTGCTCATGCCTTTCCTTCTGTCCAGCCTTGTGGATAGCTGGGTCCATGTGCTGCCACTGGGGAGAGACTTGATTGTGATCTCTTTGACTGTTGTGGTTCACAGGAGTGATTTAGAGAACTGTGAGTGACCATGCGCTTTATTGCCCAAAGAGACACTTTAATAAGTGAGAGGGGGCACTTGCCATCTTCCTTGTATACTGCAAATAAGCCCAGAGTGTCCCGGGCAGACTGTAGTGAATAGCTGTGGTACAGAGAGCTAGAATGAACAGAGATCGAGTCCTCTTTTGGTGTCCTTGTCTTCCTTTCCCTCTTAGCCAGACAGATGTGGGACTGCCTAAGAAAAGGAAGTAAAAGATTGTGAACCTAGACAACGTGGAGCTGGGAGGTACAAGTAGGGGCTGCATCGGGAAATGCAAGGGCCAGGGTGTGAGAAGCCAATTGTAAAACATTCACTTTAGTGTGTGGTGATGTGTGTTTGTAGCAATGTGTGTGCTAAATGAAGGTTAAGCTGTTGATAACACAGGTGTGATGGAGTAATCTTTTACTGCTTGGGTGAACCAGGAGGGGCAGTGGGTTGCAAGTTTAATCTGAGGTGAGGGGGCAAGATGGGCAAAAATCGCCAGTTCCACAGCAGGTGGAAGGGCTCTGAAGACGCAGGCATAGATCCCATGTAGATGGTCCTGCCCAGGAGAAACTTGAAGCTCTCTTACCTCTAAGTCATGGTGATCTTGTCCTAGATGGCAAACTAGGTCTAGAAAACTGAGTGTAGCAACTGCAGAAAGTGTACCCTAATTCTACAGATAGGTACGTTGTAGCCCAGAGGTCAAGGTGTTGGGTCCTATCCATTGAACAGACAATAACAGAGGCAGGACACCTACCTGGTGTCCTAGGTTCAACTGCACTGACCCAGGCCTCCTGAACTTCCGAGGATTGGGGCACTGTTAGTGTAGGACCCCTTCCTGACATTTTCTGAGTTTCCTCAATGTGTAAAAATTCTCTTCCAAGGCCCCAAAGTAATGATGACAAGAGAGTCTGCTGCTGTATTTATCCAGGCCTGGTGGCGGGGCACACTGCTGAGACGGATGCTGCTGCACGCAGCCCTCAGAGCTTGGATCATTCAGTGCTGGTGGAGGCAGATACGAGCCAGGCAGCTAGAGAAAAGGCGGTGGACGGCGCTGGAGTTCTATGCACGAAGAGAATGGGCAGCTGTCAAGCTGCAGTCCTGGGTCCGAATGTTGCGCATCCGCCAGCCATACTGTCGTTTGTTGAATGCTGTCCGCATCATTCAGGTCTATTGGCGTTGGCACAATTGCCATTCACGTGGCTTTATTCAGGGCGAGTATGAACTCAAAGAAAACCAACTGAATATTCAACTTGAAATCTCTCTTGGCTCACAGGCTTGTAAGGTGCACCAATGCATACCCCTTCCATTAAAAGAGTGACCAGGTCTGCTACATCTGTGTCCCCAAATTTCTTTATCAGACATATTTCCAAAAGGTCCTCATTGGAACCAATGGTGGCAGAGGTGAGGCGGTTATGAGCTCACAAGTCAGCTCTAAGGAATCTGCGGGGGTCCTCTGGGATCACATGTGGTGCAGGCTCCTGCGAGTCCAGGTGCTGGATGAGTGGGCTCATGATGAGCAATGTGTGCCACAGGTGGGTGACCTAGGCTGCCTTGGCTGCTGGGCAGCCAACTCTAGGAAGACTATGTAAATGGTGTCCCTTTTAGTTGTGCAACACGGAGCCTGAGTCACTCTTGGTTGTTTTTATATAAGTTTTTTTTTTGGTGTATTTAGTACAGGGTCTACAGGGTCTCACTACATAGACTGGACTCAGTGATTCTCCTATTTTCAGCCTCCCAAGCGCTGGGATTACAGGCATGCATCACCATGCCCAGTCTCAATCTGTCTCCGCGTGCCCCAGTGGCAGGGCTGGCACCACACTCAAGGGGTTGAACCACAGTCCCTGTGCTCTGCCTAAGCAGGTGCTGAGCTATCTGTCCAGCCTATATAAGTTTTAAATTTATTTTGAAAGTATGGAAAATAACATGCCATACAATTTGCCACTTTCACTTTTCAAAGTGTACAGTTCAGTGACACTAAGTACATATTCAATTATCCCTGCCTCCAGCCCCAGAACTTTTTCATCTTGTGAAACAGAAACTCTGCACTCATTTTAATTATTTATTATTTTTAGGGAAGGATCTACAGGGTGTTGAGGGTCTCACTACTAGATCGGTAGTGATCCGCCTGTTCATAGCCTCCCAAAAGCTGGGATTACAGGTGTGTGCCAACACGCCCAGTCACATTTGCAGTCTCCTCATGCCCCAGGGGCAGGGCTGGCATGGCAGGCTGGGAATCAAACCCTCCCAGCCCTTGCGGCTGCTTGCAGGTGCTTTAATCCGCTGAGCTATTTGGCTGGCCCTTTTCATTTTATTTATTTATTTTTGTGAAACCGGGGATTGAACTCAGGCCCTTGTGCTTGCCAGGCAAGCACATATTCTACTGAGCCATCTCTCCGGCTCTCATTTTAATTTTTAATGGGAACAATAAATTCCCATTTTTCCCTTTCACTTGCTCCTGAATACCACCAATTCTACTTTCTATCTCTATAAATTTAATACATTAGGTTACTTGTCTTTTTGTGACTGGTTATTCCACTCAGCATAATATCTGAGAGCAGTTGTGAACCTACAGCACATGTATTATTGTGCTTTTCATTTAAGATAAAAGATGTTAGAGTTGTTTTTTCTAAACTAAAACCTCAGGAGCCGGCCAAATAGCTCAGCTGATTAAAGCACTTGCAAGCTGGTGCAGGGGGTGGGGCTTTGATCTCCAGGCCTCCTGTGCCAGTCCCAGCCCCTGGGACGCACAGAGATGGCAAATGAGACTGGGCGAATGAGATTGGGTGTGATGGCATGTGCCTGTAATCCCAGCACTTGGGAGGCTGTAAACAGGGGAATCACTATGAGTCCCATCTAGTAGTGAGACCCTGAACACCTTGTAGACCCTTCCCTAAAATACAGAAAAAAACCAAAACTCTAAAACTTCAGTACTCAGGTTTGGTTACAATGTTGTTACTTTGTGATAAAAGAGCGAGTTTTGGGTTGTAGTCAGCTCTTGGTCCCTAAAAGATTTGCCCTCACTGCCTTACAGAGCTATTCCTACTATAGCATGTGTCAACGTTTCCCTTTTTTTTTTTTTTTTTTTTTTTTGAGACAAAGTCTCACTAACGCAGGCTGGCCTGCAACTTGCAGAAACCCTAGTGTCTCAGCCTCCTAAGTGCTGGGATTACAGATGTGCACCATCAGTCCCAGTATGGGTTTCCTTTTTAAGGTCAGAAAATATTCCATGGAATGCATATGTTACATTTTGTTTACCTACTTATTTGTCAGCTGATAGGCGTGTTCCTTCTACCTTTTGGCTATTTGAAAAACCACCAAGTCTCTGGTGGTTGCCACTCACACCCAGGGAAGTCTTCTGTTTTCAGTTAATCCTTTCAATCATGCTCTAATTCTACTGTTCCCATTCAGGTGGGCATTTCTTACCCCAGATCACGCAATCAGTTCACTATCATAGAGGAGAATCGTTAAAATTGTGAAAAGTTCTGGTGTGCTCCAATCCTGATGTCACCAGATGACACTGGACACTGCCGCTGTCCTATCGTACTGGGTGTCTACTGGGAGCTCTTCAGTGCTAACAGTTCTGAGAGTTTATTGCTTTTTTTTTTGAAATGACTGTTCTGTCCATACTATTCAAGCTGAAGACCCCAAGTAGATTTCCAGACTTTCACACCACCTGAGCAGTAAACTGTAACAGGTTTATAGAACACCACAGGAATTTTATTTTAACAGGGCCTTCCTGGTGTACACAGAAGTCAGTACACAGAAAGGAACCAAGAAATGACTGGGCAGTATTTCTTGGACAGCAGCTTCAGGCCTGTGTCAGTGAGGGGCAGTGCTGAAAGCTTGCTGTGAATGTTGGGTATCAAAATAAAGGGCCTTGATCCTTCCCTTTCTGATATTAGCCACTCCAGGGTACCTCCTCTCATCTTCAAAAAGACAAGAGTATCATCTGAAGTGGTGGAGAGGGCACCACACTGTCTTCCTAGTTGTACTCATGTGGGGGTGCAGAACAGTGGTTTGGTAGCCAGGGAGGACATTGGAGTACACTGTCCTGTCCATGGTGGGAGGAGCAAAGGGAAGGTGGGGAGCAAAAGGAGGGGAGGGGCATGCTGGCTGTGGCTCACTCAGATCCCCCCCTTAGCAAGCACAGGGGGGAGTTGAGGGTCCATTGCTGTTTCAGAATTGCTGGGTCATATGGTCATTGTATTATTTTCTGAGGAACCGTTGTACTATTTTCCACAGCAGCTGCACAATTGTGGATTCCCATCATCTGTGCAAGTTTTCTGATTTCTTCACATTCTCACCAGTTTTTCTGATAGTAGCCTTCCTGGTGTTTACAGGTGCTATCTTGTTATGGTTTTGTGCATTTCCCTAATATCATTAGTGAGAAAGAGCACCTTTTCATATTCTTGTAGGCTGTTTGTGTACCTTCTCTGGAAAAATGTCTACTTAAACCTTTTACAATTTCCTTTCCTCCCATCTGGAGAGAGAGGGCTCCACCTGACTTCAGCTTTTACCTCTTATCTTTATTTTTCCCAGCCTCGCCACCGCCCCCCAAACAAGAGCCATGTAGGAGGCAGAATATTTGCTATACTTGACTTATCTCCATGTACTTCTTGTAAGAAGTTAATAAACTGTTCCTTCATAACATTTTTTTTTTTTTTGTGGAACCAGGGATTGAACTCAGGCCCTTGCACTTGCCAGAGAAGCGCTTATTCCTCTGAGCCATCTCCCCGGCCCCCCTTCATAACATTTTGTAGACCATTATGTTCATTATGAGCTCAATAAGACACACTCACTATCACTACCAAAAACCACTTATTGCAAACCAACTGTGAACCTAATGTAGTGCTTTAGTCAAAATAACTCTCATTGAAGTTCAAGATTTGAAGTTCAAGAACAAAATCATCAGCTAGAATAATTCAGAAATCTCTGCCCAGCATTCTTCTCTTCATTACTTGCTTTAGTTTTCCTGTGTATGTCCAAATCTTTGATCTCTGCCATCTGGCTCATCTACTCGGCTCCCTTGGTCCCTCCAAGTTTTGCCATCAATTATATACATTTTGATCATGCCAAGGTGAGTCAGGAGCAGTAGTGGATTGATTTCCTGACCACTGCTTTTAATGTTTTCCAGTACTTTAAGACACTTGTATGACTTGAATTCACTTAGCATCTCTTCCAAGAAAAGGTTGTAAAGGCTCAAGTCATTGTACCCTTCAGAAATGCAGAACATCAAAAGTAGGCAAGATTTCATATATTTTGAGAACAGCCCACCACCATGAATGACTTTTGCTCTCTGTGCCGTGTGCCATTTTGCCTTGGAGGCAGCTGAGTATGGACTGAAACCTCCACTGACTGTGGGCGAAATAAACTTTTGTTTCCTTCATTTTGGGTGTTGGGTATTTTGTCCCAGAAATGAGAGAAGAGTCACTGAGAGAGTGATCTAAATCAGGAAGGAGAGGAGAAAGAAGATAGAAAAGAGAAGGAAAAGAAAAAAGAAAGGAGAGGAAAAAAAAAAAAACCAACCAGGAAACAAAAATAATCACACACAGACAAAATAAAGAATAATGAAAATAAAGAAAATCAGGGCAAAATAGAACAGAGAGAAAAAGAGGGGGAAAAGGGGGAAAACACAAATAATCAACAAGAAATAAAAATGACATGGGGAGAAGACACTCTCTCAGGCTTTCACAGAGAGCACATTGGCCAAGCAATGGCCGTGACTCATCCACATGGCTGCACTGACAAAGGTTCTACAATTGATGTACAGGATCTCAGGATAAATCCTGAGAGCATTTCACTGACCTTATCAGACTCAAAAGCTACAACTCTTGTTGCACAGGTCCTGCTTTATCTTGGTCTTAACCATCCAGTAGAAAAGTATGAAGACGAAATATAGGAAGTAAAGCCATGTTGTTATGTTGAGTGGTGGGGGACTCAGGTCAATAATTTCTGACATTGTCAGTTAAGCAGAAGACCCAATGCTATTATGGGCTACTGGACTCTCTTAGAATATTTTGCTGAGTTTACACACCTATAATATTCAATAACGGAACTTAGAAAAAATGGGGTATACCGATGAATGTCTATTTTGTATCTGTGTATTCAAAGTGGTTAGGATAGATATATAGTTGCTTATTTATTTATTTATTTATTTATTTATTTATTTTGTGTGTGTGTGTGGCCAGCTCAGCCCACCAGAGGGCGGGGCTGGCTGGCATGTGGTGCTGGGGGATTGAACCGCGGTCCCTGTGCTTTGCTTGGCTTAGTTTGTTCTAAGTAGGTGCTTTAGACCACTGAGCCATCTCACCAGCCCTA